TCTGTACTACTCCCAACTCTCTGCTCATCCCTAGAGAGTTAGAGAGCCAAGAAGGGCATCATGTTGGCAGAGCCTCAACGGCCAGGCCAGGAGTAGCTTCTGTAGGTGGAAGCAGGCCCTGCTTTCCAACCAATGCGAAGGGGATTCAGATGCAAGGCAGCCAAAGGTGATAAAATATATATATATATATATATATTTAAACCTTAAATGTACATTATATAAGTTTGCTGTTGCACTGAGGGTTCAAGGTATCACCAGGCTAGACTCCCAGTAACTTTTGGCTGTTCTAAAATGCCAAAGCCATCCTCCAAAGAATGTCTGCCTGCTCCTAAGGCTATTTTCTAAAACAATACTTGAATGAAAATCTTTCAAATAAGTTTCTAAGACCTTTCTGGACCACTGTGATGGTGTTTTCACGGTGTAATGCCATTGGAAATAACACTTGTTAAAGTATGTTTGGCTGCAAATGTACAAATAGGAAATTAATTTTTCTAACATAATAATATCCCCTTTGATCATGAAAACAAGGGTGTTTACCAATTCTTCCCACCTGCTTTATCACTCCTTTATTTCTTCTTGTTCCTCGTTTGCCTAAAGTGGGTTACAAGGTCAACCCTAGCTGCCAGGATGGTTGGGAAGAAGAAAACAGGATTGTCATGATTGGTCTATGCCAATCACAAATCACATACTGGACTGGGTACATTATTACAATGTGAAGATGAGGAAAAGGAGGGAGGTGGACATTAGACAGTATATCCAAATTCTAATATCAGATTTGGTCATTGCAGGATTGGAAGTTGAACACACAAGCATTGGGGACAAGAGCTTTTCAGGAAGAGGAAACATAAGGAGCAGAAAGACACAGGAATATGGGGAAAACAAAGAAATTCTATTTGGTAGGTGTGTAGACAGCTGCACTTTAGGGGAACCTATTCTATGGAAATAAAATCACTGATTACAAGGATATGGACACAAGGAATTTTATAAGGAAAAACCAACTACTAACAACCTATATATCCATTAATAGGGGAATGGTTGAATAAGTGTAGTATAGACATTCTGTGGAATACTACGTAGTTAACAAGTGAATGAATTATCTCTATGTCTACAACCCATTATGTTATCAAGAAGGAAGGAGAGCTGGGATTGTGGCTCAGCAACAGAGCGCTCACCTAGCATTCGTGGGGCCCTGGGTTTGATCCTCAGCACCACATAAAAATAAATGAATAGAATAAAGGTATTGTGTCCAACTACAACTAAAAAAATAAAATTAAAAAAAATTAAGGAAGGAGCAAGGTGCAGAGACCCATAGTACCCTTTTTTCACAATACCCTTTTTTGTACAAACCAGCAATAACATAATAGCCCCATAGTACCTGTGTGTAGCTTATAGGAAAATGATGACTATGGCAAAAGGAATGGAAGCTTACATTGGATGCCTCAGGAGACTGGGTGAGAAATGGAGAGGGTTGTGGAAGATCATTAACACTTTTCTTCGAATATCTTTGAGTATTTTCCTGATTGTGGGGAACATGTGTTTGTTTTATAATTCTGGAATGCAACTTGAAGAGTAGGGGCTGGAACCAGATTTTGGAGTCAAGTGTTATACACAGACAGTAGAGAACCTCTGAAGATTTTTAAACAAGGGAATTATGTGGTCAGGAAAATTAACCAGGAAGGAGTATGTCTGATGAGTTAGAAGAGAGAGAGGCTGAAGATGGGCAGAACAATTAGAAGGTTCTTGTAGCAGCATCTCATTTAGAAGCTAATAACTGAAGTGTGATTGCAATAACATGTGAAGACAGGCAGAGGAACAGGGGCCCAGGCTAGAGTCTTGGCAGAGGGTAGCGGGTGGGGTAGGATACATGCCTGAATGTTAGGAGGACTGGTAATGGGGAGAGGTATGTATTTTCTATTAAATTGTGTCAACCAGCACTTCTTTGAACTTTCAAAGCCTGAATAAGTGACCGTAAAACTACAGATAGTTCTCTTCTACCTCCTCCAACATCTATTTATTTGACATTTACAATATAAAGATTCAAAATAACCATTATCTGTTATCTCCCCCTTTTAAATTGAAAACATCTTGGGATATGAGACCATAAATAATGGTCTCACAAAGTACAGTGCACCCCTATATGTAATCATTCACTCATTCAGCATAGTTGATATATATACACATGTGTGTGTTCTTAATTTATTCCTTTGAGGAATGAATATATATATATATATATATATATATATATATATATATATATATATATTTTTTTTTTTTTTAATACACACTTTCTTCATTCATTCCTTGAAGGACCAGCCCAGTCCTGCTCCTTGGACTTTACCATCCAGAAGTGAAAGGGGCAGACTCTCAACAGGAAATTCTGTTTGGGCCAAGAATTACAGGAGGTGGGAGGGGGCAGAGAGGTTGTGCCTAAGCTAAGACCTGAAGGAAGAGGAGGAGTGAGCCAGGTGAAGAAAAAGACTAAAGATCATTCCTGATAAAATGGAAAACATCAGCAAAGCCCCTGAGATGGGAAATAGAAAGGCACACTTGAGTTAACCAAAAGAAAGCCATGGATAGCAGGAGCTGAGGGATAGGGGTAGTAGAAGACAGACAAAGGCAGAAAGAAAAGATCCGCCAGCCAAAAGATGTTGCAGGCTCAACTTGATCCTAAGAGCAGTTTGTTGTTGTTGCTGCTGTTTGAGATAAGGTAAGTTGCTGAGGCTGGACTTGAACTTGAGATCCTCCTGCCTCAGCCTTCTGTGGTTCACTTTTTCCCCCCTTTAAGAAAGAATGCTCTGAACCCGGTCATGGTGGCACATGCCTGTAATCCCAGCAGCTCTGGAGGCTGAGGCAGGAGGATCCCAAGTTCAAAGCCAACCTCAGCAAATTAGCCAGGCCCTGTCTCAAAATAAAAAATAAAAAGGGCTGGGGGTATAGCTCAGTGGTTAAGCATTCCTAGGTTCAATCCCTGGTACCAAAAAAAAAGGGGGTGTGGGGTGGAGAAAGCAAGCAAGCATGCTCTGGCTTTGGCTGGGATTGTAGGGAAACTAAGGGAGGCTCAATGGTCTGGTCTTCCCAGTAGGCTAGGAGCTAGCCAGGAGCTGAATTGTGCTCATCCCATTTATAACTGCCTAGTCTCTTCTCCTCTACTTGGATCCTCTTCTTCACAGATCTGGCCTCAGCTGTAAGTGCTTGTGGTTAACAGGTCAATCTTTCCCTCATCAGAGAAGTAAAAGACCGGGAAGACTCATGAAGAGTAACAGGAGGGCTGCAGGGAACTTGAAGAAGAGAGACTGGGGTATGGATAGGAAGCCAGTAACACAAGGTCAATTTCTTCTCCCCGTGCCCCAACTTTTTAATCTAGAAAACAGGACATTCAGGGTACCTACCTAAAAGAGTTGCTTTAAGGGCTTAATTCATAACAAAGTCCTCAGATATTACCTGGAAAAAAATGGATAGTCACTAAGTATTAGGTTTATTCTTCCTGGAAGATAAGTGGAACCCTGTAGACATGGACTTTATTCCCACAGGTCTGAGAGGACATCTGAAAGTTTGAGAACCCCTCGGGCCCTTTGGGCCCTCAGGTCTCAGGATCACCAAATGATCCAAGTTTGAACAAATCTTAGGTATGAGTTTGAGCCTAGATTGCTAATGTGTGGGTGCTTCTGTTGTTATGATTTAAAAGAACCCCAGACGGGGGGGGGGGGGGGGGAGAGGAGCTATCTGTAGCACTCCCTCAAAACCCGAGTCCCGGGTCCGGTCTCCAGCCAGGGCCTGAGAGAGCTCCTTGTTTGGGCAGCAGGGGCGGAGCACCGGGAGTGGAGAGCTGGCTGGCGCGGCGGAGAGGCGGGGTCTGCGCGTCAGCTCGCAGCCCCACCCCCAGCGGAAGTGCTTCTGGGCCCGCCCCTCCCTGGAGACCGGTTCCCCCTCGCCCCACCCCCTTGCCTGTTCTCCCCAGCGCAATTCCGCTCCCGGAGCTAGTCGGGCCAGGGCCCCAGCACCCGATCCAGGGAGAGGGTCCTGGGTCTGTGTATTGGCTGTCTCGGGCGGTGCTCTCGGTCCCTTCCACTATCCTGCCCTCTCTACCGTTTCTCTGTTATCTGCGCGGCCACAGACGGCGCTGGGGACCGCACAGGTAAAGTCTCGGCAAGTAAGGGCGCAGGTGTGGACGCCTCCCAGGCCGGACCCACTAGGGAGAGATCGACAGCACGTGGCCGGCTTCCCCCCCCCGCCCGAGGCGATCATACTGACCGTCTGGGATTGGGGAGGGCGGATGTGAACCCTGGGAACGCTGAAGTGCTTTGGGGAGAAATAAGGGGCGGGACTGAGCCCTAGAGCTTGGGGCCGAGCCATGTGTGTCCCGGGTCTTGCGCAGTCTCCGTTGTGCCTGGGAGATGGTGAGCTAGTTAGGTGTGAGTAGACACCGAGTTACCGAGGATTGTACTCCCATCCACCCCCCGCGATGACTGGGTTCTGACGGCTGCCCCGCCCGGGGTGTTCACAGTCCCAGGTTTGCAGAATGAAAATCAATAAAATCGATGCAATGGCAAAGAACACGAAACATGTTGGGTTATTATTATTTGAGTTTGCTAAATTCTTTTTATGTTTTTTTTTAACGTCATTCTTGGAAAAGGTGGCTTCAGGTTGGACCAGGGCCTCGGAGGAGGACACAAAATATCTCCTGGCCTCCGGGCAAGAGACAAGGGCTTGTCCTCCGCCCCAAGCCTCGCGAACTTGCCCCGGCGGCTGTGCGTGGTCTGGCAGCAGGAGGGAAGCCCCGGGGCGCTCTGGGGTTCCAGACACGGCTCCCCCCCACCCCGCACCTCTTCGTCTGCCCTTTAGGGAGATGGCCCCCTCCACCAACATTTCCCCGGTTCACCACCCCCACACCCTGGGGGCCGCGCCTCCTCCCCTCCCCCGCGCTCTCCTTAGCGCTTTAAATAATGATATTTGCATGCAGGGAGCGATTCATAAATATGTCAGGGCCGGTGAAATATAGGCAACATTTCAAACTTTCTATTTAAAAAACATGAATTATGGCCGCGGAAAATGTGTTCCCATTTAAAGGCGATACGAAGTATTTGGTGTCTCGTCCCCGGGCCCATCCATCACGCAGACAATAAAGAGAGTTTTTCGCCCTGACACCCGCGATTTATGGGCGCCCTTCTCTGCCCTCATCACTCACCCGCCGCGGCCGGCCCGGCGACAGGCCCCGCGGAGAGACAAGAGGCCGCCCCCGCGCCAATCCGCGAGCGCACTTTGCGCTCTAGCGCCCCGAAAATGCAACACCCAGGGGGAAGCGCCCACTGCCCGGAGTTGGGGGATCACCATGAGGGTCTGAGGAGACAAGTGGGAGTGGGAACCACATTCATCCTCCCACCTCCGCGCAAGCCTCTCTGCCCGCCGGGGCCGAGCCTTCCCAGAAGTGGCCTTGCGGATACCCGGTGCGTCCCGGCACCCTGTGCGTCCGGGCCTTGTCCGTGACCGTTGGGCGGAGCTGAGAACTTTTGCGGCTTCCGCGTTGGAAGGTTATTTAACCGCTGATTCCAGGTGAGGGCAGAGAGCTGGGCAAGGGGCTGTCCAGGCTGATTTGCCCCAAGGAAGGAAAGCTGTTCTAAAGTTTCTTGAGCCCCGCGGGATTGACGCTTCGGAGCAAAGATTTCTGCAACTTTTACAATGCGGTCCCCTTAACCTCCCAGTGCGATCTCAAAATCAAGCTGTTCGCCCTCCGCAGCTAGAAAATTCTTTACCACCAGGAGCCGAAGAGTAGTGTGAAGGATGGGACTTCCTTGACGTTTTGCCTCCAGCCAAGCTCAGACACCAGGTGGCCTCCTCGTCCCCGCCCCATCCCACACTCACTCGCACTGGCCCACTGTCCTCTCAAAACTGCCACTGAATCTGTTGCAAACTTGCCTCGAGGGAAGTTCGAACTACTTCTGCAGGGGTTTGCTTTCAGTTTTTGCCACGGCAGGACAGGTTTCTGAAGCCTGGGCAGAAGTGGGGTCTGTCAGGCACAGTTGGTCAGCAAGAGGCCGCTCGACCTGTGGGGGCCGTTTGTCCAGCCTACTTCGGAGAGTAGACCCATAGCAGCCCAGATACAAGGAGTCACCTCGAGTCCCGGCTGGGCCAAAGCATATGCGTTCACGCCAGCGGGAAGCCGTTTCCTGCTGGATGTCTGCGAGTCGGATTTATTCGGATAAACGCAGCACAAACGACAGCCAGAGAAATCCCGTCGATTCTAAAAATGACAAGGTTGAATTTATTAGATCGAGATTCATGTGTAAGTGCAGAGAGAGAGAAAAAAAATTGTACAAACAGCTCCATGTCCAGTACAGACACCACTGGTAGCTTCTGGCTTCAAGGGCATGTAACAAAACACATCTGAATACTTAGATCTACAGAAGGATACAAAATAGTCTTAAATTCTCAGTGTATGCACATATATTAAGTTGGAAAAATCTAGAGTCAGTGTCTTTTTACAACTGCTTGGGTGTCATTTGGGTCCGAAATAGAACTTACGTCCAAATAACCGCCCAGTAAATATTTCCCATAGCCACAGTGGAGGGATGCCGTTATCTACAGCTTTTTAAATATCTGCAGTGTGGCAGATGTGAAATATATATATATATATATATATATATATATATATATATATATATATATTTTTTTTTTTTTTTTAAGAAAAGCAGGCGGACAGATAACTGAGCCACTGCATCAACAGAATATTTCTGGGTATGGAAATAAAATAAACAGTTCTACAAAGTCAGCTGTGAAGAGTCAAGACATAGAGGGACTTTTGGGAACCCTGTGTGGGGGCCACCCTCTTGCAGCCCAGGGCACCAAGCAGGCTGAGATGGGCTCTATTGGATAAAGGCGACCTCGAACCCGGCGTGACTGCTGGGAGAGGCTCGGCCTGGACGCTCAGCATTGTAGATAGAGCCTTGGGGTTTCTGTTCTCCCAAATGCAGGCCCAGAAAGAAAGGCTTTCGAGGAGTACTGGACCTGGCATTTAAGGTTGCAGGGTCTGGGGTCGTGTGGGCAACCTTTCTTCCTCAGACACTTCAGCCAGTCCTCCATCCTGGCTCCATCAGGCTCTGGCTTGGACGATTGGCATTTGGAGCAAAAGTACAGAAAAGAGTGAGTCGCACTTGAAGCCAAGACGTCCCAAAGCTGGAAGCCAAAAGCCACCGAGAAGGCCACGATTAAAGCCAGACCCCACCCAGCCCTAGGACGCCAATTTGAAGCCATAGAAGCTGTTACCTGTATGAATTTACTTATGAAATACTAGGCACCCCTCACATATTCAGTGCCGTTCCCGGGCCCCCTAGGGCTCCGCCATCTATTAGCGAAGCCCAGACAACACAAATAGTAAGTTGCAACTGTGAAATTTCAAGACCAAATACTAATTCCAGAACAGGGCACTTGCAACCATCCACCCATCCAATTTGCCCTGTGGTCGCGTTCGCTCTCTCCTTCCTCCCCTCCGACCCCCTTCGAATGCACTCAGCCTCTAAACAAGCACACAGCTTCTAAGAGTCCCTGTTTGGTAAGAAATAAGGGAGGACTTTGTCATGAAATCTGGGAAATAGCACACACTCTTGAGGCAACCCTGCCGCGGAAGAAATAACCCGGGCCCTGAGAATGCCCTACTCCAGAAAGTGTGACTGTACATTAAGTGGTTTCTACGGGACGCTAAGAGAGGAGAGAGATAATAGGAAAATATTCCTGGCAAGTAGAAAAGGGGAAAAGGAAGAGGAAATGAAGAGAAAAGAAAGGATCAAGAAAGAAGCTGCAGTGAAAACAAAAAGAAGAAGGGCTGGGGGGAGAAACGGAGAGCAAGTAGAGGCGAGCTTAGAAGATGGCAGGCCAAGGCGAAGGCCCCAGGACTAAGACCGGTCGCCGCTCCGGCAAGTCTGGCGCCTTCCCGCCCCGAGAAGCTGTCAGGGTCGCACGGGACCCCCTCCACCGGTCAGGTGAATTTGAGCCCCTCTCCCCGTGGGGTGGGGCTGGCCTGGATCCTGCGGCCTCGGTGTGCTCTTTCTCTTGTCCCTCCCCAAGGACTGCAAGGCGGAAGAGGACGAGGGTGGGGAGGCCCCTGGGGGCGCACGCCAGTCCGGGACTGTTTGGGCGCTCTGGGCCAGGCTTTGCAGCTCGCCGGGCCTGACCTGTCAGGCGGATTATCTTCGAGGGAGATTAATAGGGGAGGCGGGCTGCAATAATAATCGTTTTGTTTGATGTGACAACTCTGATAGGCGTTGATTTACTTACAAACTGATAGGCTTTTAATTGAGCGCCTCCGCCGAGCCCGAGATGAAAGGGAAGCGGCGGTGAAAGGCGGCCCGCCTGCCCTCCGGCCTCAATACTGATTAGCCATCTCGACAGTGAACAGTTCAAGGCATTTTCAAACTTTTTTCCTCAGCTCTCTCCCCTTCCTTTTCCTCCTCCCACCCCGTCCTTAAATATCTGCCATGCCCATTTTTTTTTTTTTTGAGAAAAACAAATCATTTCCATTGTGTGCAAATAAAACCTACAGGACATCCACGCCAACCGCTGCTAGTGGTTGAAGGCTTTAGGCTCAGCGCGGAGTAATTAATAACCACCCCCAAGCTCCGGCCTTCTGGGCCTTTGGGGATTTGGCCTCCGGCGTAGGTGCGCAGGCTCTGTCCGACGATGACGCCTACCAAAAGACCCGGGCGCGCAGGACCCCAGGCGCCCCCGTGCGCTCGGACCTTGGGAGCTGAGTTTTGAGCAGAATAAACGCTCAAGGCCCAGGACCCGCGCCCACAAAGCACAGCGCATACCTATGAGGGTCTGAAGCTATAGCCGTATACGCCTATAGCGTATAGGCGTAGGAGCCACTCAAGGCTTCCCCGGCTTTGAGTGTTGGGGTGGCTCCCCCTGAGTTTCACTGTGTAATAAGAAAGCTGCTGGAATCCGAGAAGAGGAGAAAAAATGCGCCTGGAGATGGATAGGAGGGTGGGGAAGGACCCCCCCCCCCGCGTGCGGTCATTCCTAGCTATGGCCGCTGCCCCATTCGGTGTCCAGGCCTGTTTGGGAGGCCTGGGCGACAAGCAGCCCGAGGCCGAGCTCGCGACATTGGGAGCACTGCAGTTGGCCCCAGCTGATACCTAGACTGCCGTGCAGTATCGCGGGCAGACACACCCGCAGAATAAGAGAGGCTTTACAGACACGCAGAGCCAGCTTAGAATCTTTGGTCCTTAGAAACCAGCACCTGGGACTCGCACTCCAATGATCAAACAACCTTCACAACCTCACATGTGATCTCCCCCACGGTCTCACCGACTTACCTTCCTCAGTTTTCGAACAGAGACACTACAAAACCCCTTGAGTGCAGGTGTGTTCTTACATGCACACAAACCCAGTCCCAAATGCACAAGACCGCATTCTCTTCTGTCCTCTCCAATCTAGCTTTAGTCAAGTTACCATCTCATAAAGTTGACCAATCTAAAGGATCAAGGGATAAAATTAAAACGCAGAAAAATAAACCCTGAGAGGAAATTCTAAAACTCACCCCAGAAAGTTCTCGGTACCCGTGCGGAGTGGGAGACAGAGACAGGAGGAAAGGGGGTAGGGTGGTGAGAGAGGAAAGGGCAAGCACGCCGAGGGCAGGTCCCAGATCTGACCCCCACGCGTACCCAGTTCAGCTCCGGGTGCTGCGCAGGTCTAAACCGGGTCTCCAGCCCCGGCCCCCGCCCCTTGTGCGGGCACAGACGGGCTCCAGGCTCCCAGCGCTCCCAGCCCGACCATTTATCAAAAGGACTTGACAACAAAAGAAGAGTCAGGCAGAAAAGTGGGGGAGGGGAGATTCAAAGTCTTCCAAGTCCTTCCGAGGAAGGGGTGTGTCTTCCTTTCACCCCCTTCTAGTTTCCGCGAGTTTCTGGAGGTGACCCTCGAACTCGCTCCACACGCTCCCAAAGCCCTGAGAACTCAGCGGTGCAGGCTTACATATACACAGTGCACCCAGATCCAGGTACACAGCGGCACGCACAGCGCCTCCCCTCTTCTTTCCAAACAGCCCGACTGACAGTGCAAATCGAGGGGAACGCCGCAGACCCGCTCCGCTTCCCTGGAAGAACCCGTGTTCCCACAGGCAGCCACCCCCTCCCTCTCTCGCTCCTTCCCTCTGCTCTCCAAGCGCAAGACAGTCCCGGCTCAGCGTTCCATTAAATTCGGGCAAGCGGCCCGACCGTAACCCCAGCTCCCAAGGCTGCGGGGATGGCGCGGGACGGATAATGGGGGAGGGTTTAGGGACTGGGAAAGGGTGAATCTTGAAACCTGTTTCCCCAAACACCCACGTTATGGTCTCTTTTCTGCAGCCTTTAATCCTAGCCGCGATCAAGATGGGCAAAGAATTGAGAATGTGTTGCCCCACTGTTGACCTCCAGGACTCAAGGTTACGTTGGTGGGGTAGCTCTTGGAAAGAAGTCTCCAAGTTTAGGGTAGGGCACCATAGAACCAGGATCGCAGCCTGACAGCATGCTACACACCCCCGAGGGTATCCGGGGAAGCGGGAAATCTCCCGTGTTAGACGTCGCCGCTACAGGTCCGGACACCCAGAGCGGCCCCTAACTCCGCGACCCCAACGGGCGGAAGACCCCAAAGGTGGAGGCTATACGTGTCTCTCCAACACATAGAGGAAGGCGCACATCCCGGGCCTGTGCGCCCCTCAGCGCCCTAGGCGCACCTGCGCACTTTACTCTCACAATGCATTTTCCTGACACTGAGCGCCTGCCGCCCCCCTTTGCATTCTTTTTCTTACTCCCACCTCCCCCGCGCATCCCAGGAGGCCGCTCCTCTTTTCCCCTCCTCCGGTTCCTACGGTCTCTTCCTTCCTCTGTCTCTCTCTCCCTCTCTCTTTTTCCCTTCAAGTCGCACCCGCCTTGTAATCAGCAACAAAAGCTGACATAAATCACGGGCGGATTGACAAGAGCTGACAAATAACTGATTGATTGCGGTCGAGGCACATTGACAATTGATGGAGGGGTGGAGATGCCCAAAGAACGGGGGTGGGGGGAAGAGGAAAAGAGAGGGTGGCTGGGGAGAGTAAGAATGTGGGGGGGGGGGGGGACTGAAACAGAGGAAACATGTGACCCCCGCTCCTGCCCCAATCTGAGCGTCCTCAGGTGTCACGTGGCCAAGAAGGGCGGAGAGCCCAACGCACGTCGCCGGGATGAGCCACCACCGCCTCCGCTGCCCCTCTAGCTTCTGGTTTCTCTGCTGCGGAATCTCAGGAAATCAAAGCGGGCGGGCGGACTTCCTCCAGAACCCGCTCTCCACCTTTCCTTACCCTGGTGGCCGCGCCGCGCGGGATATCAATTACTAAAAAGAACATTTGTGTTCCGGCCCTCTGCACGCCCCTGGAGTTGACGGTCCGGCTGATCCACACTCTCGCCGGAGCTTCTTCTGGACGCCCCCGCGGTTTGCCAGCACACGCATCCCCACACACACACTCCAAAAGGTTTCAGTTTATTTTTTGAGCTGGGAAAAGAACGACCAGGATTAAAAAAAAAAAAAAAAAAGAGGGAGGCGGCAGATGGCAAACGTAGAATAAATGTCCATCTTGTCCTCCGAGCGAAATCGAGGGAGGGGACTCGCTGGGGGGTGGCAAAGAAGGAGCTGCCCATTAAAACCAGCTCTGAGAGTCCTGGCGGCGGCGGCGGCGGTGGCGGCGGCGGCGCGGGACGCGTCACATCCCCTTGACCCTCCAATCACCTCGGGCTCCCATTTGATTGGAAGGCGGCAAAGGCTTTAATCTCCCCCTCGGTGCAGCTGCTTTTGAAGTGAGTTTCCTCGCCAGAGCCCCGGCTGGACAAGCAGCAGCTCACATCGTAGAGCGCAGCGCCGGCTCGGGGCCGCGAGAGCGCAGCGCAAGGGCGCAGCCCGAGGCGGACGCCGCTAACCGCTCCGCGCTCCCGCAGTCCCGCCGGCTGCTCCGGCCGGGCCACCGTTCCACTGCGGGCCACCCAGGATTATTCGCCCCTGGCTCCAGGCGCCAAGAAGGCGTACTGGGCTCCTGAGGCCGCCGCGCCAGCTCCTCCTCCTCCTGCTGCTGCTGCTGCTCCTGCTCCCCGGGCGAGCGTGCAGCCCCGAGCCCGCCCCGCGCCTCCGGGAGCCCTCCCCCCGCTGCTCCCATGCTTGCGGGTGGGTCATGAGCACAGCGCCCTCGCTTTCTGCCCTAAGAAGCAGTAAGCACAGCGGCGGCGGCGGAGGCGGCAGTGCGGACCCTGCCTGGACCAGCGCTCTTTCTGGAAATAGCTCCGGCCCCGGCCCAGGCTCGTCCCCGGCCGGCAGCACCAAGCCTTTTGTGCACGCCGTGCCCCCCTCTGACCCCCTGCGCCAGGCCAACCGCCTGCCCATCAAGGTGCTGAAGATGCTGACGGCACGGACTGGCCACATTTTGCACCCCGAGTACCTGCAGCCCCTGCCTTCCACTCCCGTCAGCCCCATCGAGGTAAGGACTCTCTCCCAGGGTTGACCTAGGACCACTACCTTCGCTGCTCCCTACAGGATTTTTTTCTCTGGGGATCTGAGAGTGGGGGTGGGGTGTCGGAGTGATTCAGCTCTGGGATGAGGGAGAGGACAGCGCTTCAGCACCTCAAAACTAGGGCGCAAAGGAGGAAAGAGGCGGAACGGGGTGTGAATGCCAGGGAGCAAGGAGGCCCAAACTTGTTTCTCTCCTTTTAGTTAAAACCTCTATCCCAACCCACACACCTTCCTACTCGGTCCCGAAGTCGGGCGGGGACCTGAATACCGTTCGAAAGTCTGGTCCTCTCGCTGCCCATAAACTAGTGTATGTAAGCAGTCTCTGAGGCGCCGACTGCCCAAGCCCTTTGAAGAATTAAGAGATGTGTGTGGGGAGTGGTTACAGTTCTGGGTCTAGGAGCCGAAAACCAAAACATTTTGTAAGGTGCCCCCCCCCCCAAATCAGTTAGCACTAAGAGACTGCGGGAAAGATCTTGACAGAGGTTTTGGAGTGGGTTCTTCCGCCTTTCCCAAGGGCGAGAATCTTTGCAGTGTCTGTGGAGGGAGTGTCTCCGGTCTGAAATGCTCTTAGCGGGCTGTTTCGGAGGGGCATTATAAACCAGGATATCTAAAGGGTTTCCCCCTTTTTTTCTATGACCCCTCTTCCACCTCCCCCGTCTGACCCCGCAGCTGGATGCCAAGAAGAGCCCGCTGGCACTGTTGGCGCAAACATGTTCACAGATCGGGAAGCCGGACCCCTCGCCCTCTTCCAAACTCTCTTCGGTTGCCTCCAATGGGGGCGGCGCGGGTGGTGCAGGCGGCGGCGCCGGGGGCGACAAGGACACCAAGTCGGGCCCCCTGAAGCTGAGCGACATCGGCGTGGAGGACAAATCGAGTTTCAAGCCGTATTCCAAACCTGGCTCGGATAAGAAGGAGCCAGGAGGCGGCGGCGGAGGCGGAGGCGGCGGCGGGGGCGGCGGCGGGGGTGTTTCGGCGGAGAAGTCTGGATTCCGGGTACCGAGCGCCACCTGCCAGCCATTCACGCCCAGGACAGGCAGCCCCAGCTCCAGCGCCTCGGCCTGTTCGCCCGGCGGCATGCTGCCCTCGGCCGGGGGCGGCCCGGAGGGCAAGGACGACAAGAAAGACGCTGACGCGGGCGGTGGCGGCAGCAGCAAGGGTGCCGGGGGCGCCTCGGCGGAAGGGGGACCCACCGGGCTGGCGCACGGCCGGATTAGCTGCAGCGGCGGAATTAATGTGGACGTCAACCAACACCCGGATGGGGGTCCCGGAGGCAAGCCCCTAGGCTCTGACTGCGGCGGCTCCTCGGGCTCCAGCTCTGGCTCGGGCCCCAGCGCACCCACCTCCTCCTCGGTGCTGGGCTCTGGGCTGGTGGCTCCAGTGTCTCCCTACAAGCCAGGCCAGACAGTGTTCCCTTTGCCTCCCGCGGGCATGACCTACCCAGGCAGCCTGGCCGGGGCCTACGCCGGCTACCCTCCCCAGTTCCTGCCACACGGCGTGGCACTGGATCCCACCAAGCCCGGCAGCCTGGTGGGGGCACAGCTGGCTGCAGCAGCGGCCGGCTCTCTGGGCTGCAGTAAACCGGCCGGCTCGAGCCCTTTGGCCGGGGCGTCGCCACCGTCTGTGATGACAGCCAGTTTGTGCCGGGACCCGTACTGCCTCAGTTACCACTGCGCCAGTCACCTGGCAGGGGCAGCAGCCGCCAGCGCCTCTTGCGCTCATGATCCCGCCGCTGCGGCCGCAGCGCTCAAATCCGGATACCCACTGGTGTACCCCACGCACCCACTGCACGGCGTGCATTCCTCGCTAACGGCCGCTGCCGCTGCGGGCGCCACACCGCCTTCCCTGGCTGGCCATCCCCTCTACCCTTATGGCTTCATGCTCCCTAACGACCCTCTCCCCCACATCTGCAACTGGGTGTCGGCCAACGGGCCGTGCGACAAGCGCTTTGCTACGTCCGAAGAGCTGCTGAGCCACTTGCGGACCCATACGGCCTTCCCTGGGACAGACAAACTGCTGTCGGGCTACCCCAGTTCGTCCTCTCTGGCCAGCGCCGCGGCGGCAGCCATGGCTTGCCACATGCACATCCCCACGTCCGGCGCCCCAGGCAGCCCAGGGACGCTGGCGCTGCGCAGCCCCCATCACGCGCTGGGACTCAGCAGCCGCTACCACCCCTATTCCAAGAGCCCGCTCCCCACACCCGGCGCCCCGGTGCCGGTGCCCGCCGCCACCGGACCCTACTACTCTCCCTACGCCCTCTACGGACAGAGACTGACTACCGCCTCCGCCCTGGGGTATCAGTGAGGGCTGCCGGGAGGGTTACCAAGCGAAAGGAACTGGGGGAGGGGAGGAGCCCAGGGAGGGGCGGGATCCCGGCGGAGGCTGTTGACACCCGCGAGTGGGGAAGACCCACGCTACCGAAGGAAAAATATATATATACCGTATGTACCTATCTACCCATCAACAGCGAACGAGACCCGGTGGGAAACTCCCCTTTCCCCTACTTCTCACCTCCCCCACCCAAACTTTATAAAAGTTGAAAAAAATATCATTTGACTTTTTATAAAAAAAGGAAGGAAAAAATAATTGAGAAGGTGTTCATCTGAGGACTTCATCGGTGGACACTGGTATTTATTTATGTTAGCTCCAAGCGGACCCGTGGTTCAAAAGTGCATTATTTAGTTTGAGCTCCGTAGGTAAAAAGGAGGAGGGAAACTTTTTTTTTTAACTTGAGGGTAAAAATGTGGAAAACAAACCCTCCCATCCCTTGTAGATTATAAATAAAAACAAAACCGCCACAGAACTAGAGGTCTTCTCTTTAATGTTACTTTAAAATTGCTATGATTGTATCGTACGTTCTTATTTAATGTCTGACTGAAACACAAATTTACATGCATGTTTGTTACAAAAATGAAAAAGACGAAACAAGTAACAATTTGTCAGTTCTAATTTCAAATTGCAATTATTTTTAAGGTGTATACCATCAAAAGAGAATGGGTATTTTTTTGTATGTATTCTGGAAGAAAACAAAAAAAAAAAAAAAGGAAAAACAATTCTATTCCAAAACCTCATTTGCCTTATTTTGTTCTTTAAAAGGAACACTTAACTATTTTTAATTTTTAAGTCCACCCGCTGAGAAGGGGACAAGGTTTACGTCATGTACTAAAATAATAGACAATGTATCGCTTTAAAGATTAAATTCCGTATATTTGATGTATTAAAAGGTTTTACTTCTTCTTATCATTTTTTATTTTTTGGTTGAAGAGCAGAGCCGGGCAGTTTCGGCTGCTGTGGGTTCCCGGGGCCTCACCGCTACTCTTCCCAGGATCCGGGCAGAATTTCCTATTGCTTTGTTGTGATTTTCTGAAAGAGGCACAGGCTTCGGAAGGGCCAGCCAGCCGCGGGGTTGGCCTTCAGGAAAATGTTCTTAAAGGGGGAAGTTTGGTGACCTTCGCTATTGCTCATTTCGTTTTTATTTAAATCTTCTCTGAGCAGCTGGCTTGTTAAAAGTGAAAGGGTGGAGGGGGGGGAGGCCTTTTTGTTTTTGTTAAGTTCTCCTCTTGAGATTTTTGGGCATTTGGGTTTGGTTTTTTTTTTTTTTTTTTTTGCAGAGAGCGGAGCAGGCTGGGACACGCCGTCCGGGCCAGGGCTTCGAGGACCTGCGGCCACCGGCTGTCCCTCGCTTCACTTTCTAAGCATCCCCTGCCCCGGGCCTGCAGCCCGGATAAACTGGGAGACCGAGGGGCTCTTGGGGAACCAGTTGCCTGGGCCTAGAAAGAGCGCGCGGAACCCTCTTGTCCCTCGGGAGTAACGTGAGTTGGCTCTGCTTTTCTTCTGGCGGCCTAGGGTCAACCAGACACCACTGCCTGATCCCGATGCCCACCCCCGGGCTCCTTCCTGCCGCGGGAGTACCGGCCCGCTGCTGGCCGGCGCCGCCGCTTCTTTTCCCTGTCTGCATTGCTCCACAGCCCTCACTCCATCCCGGTCCGCGCCGCAGGAGAGCGCGCTGGGGCAAGGGACCCGGAAGTCCCTTTAAATTCGGCCCTGTGAGGGCCTGAGTGTCTCTGCTCCGCCTCTCGGGGCGACCGAGTGGGCGCCGAGTGCGGTTCTGGACGGCGAGTTCCTCTAGGCTAAAGCGCGGCGGGAGCCTGGGTCCCCGCGCGGATCCCCGCTGTGCGGCCGCTCCCTTCTCCCCAACTTGGACCCCGGGACAGAGCTGCAGGAATGGCAGATGGAACCGCGTAATGACCCAATAGCTTCTGGGCGGGGGAGGGGTTCCGACGCTCCGTGCCCGCTCCCTACACCCCAGGCCTGGGCTCAAGCTCTGGTCTTCTGGCGGTTTGGGAGCGCTGGGCCCGAGGAGCCCTTTCTTGGGATCCTGGACCAAAGTTGCGGCGCTGAGCGAGCACCTCTAGTTCTTGAGTTTTCTCGGGTCTCAGGATTCCCGCGGTGCCCAGCTCTCGCCGGTGCCTCTGGGGGCTGCGGAGAGTGCGCCTTCAACCTCGAGCCCGGGTGCGACAGCCGCCGGGCCCGGCAGCCGTTTGCGCGGGGGTTAGTGACTTTGAGATTTTCCACCCTCCTCCCATCGCCTGCCTCGCGGCTGCTGGGCCTTTTCCCGGGTCGCACGCAGAGCAGCCCCAGGCGACCTCTGGGACTCCGCCGGGAGCTCCCAGGCCGCTGCCCAAGCCCAGGTGGTGGAAACTCAGGCCTCGCCGCCCCTTCTCTGGGGATAGTCTCGGGCGCCTCTGAGAAACTGACGGAGGGACGCCTGGAGACCCAGAAACGAGAAGTGGCGCCTGAGAAGGATCCTGGCCCTTAGCGTCCGGGGACACTGCTGCCCGGCTCCCACTGTGGTCCAGCCTAGAGAGGCTAGGCTGGGCCTGGCTCTCGAGAGTCCTGGCCGACTGGCCGGGTCGTCGTCCCCAGCTCTCCGACAGATAGCCCCGCACCCCCCCCCCCCAACACACACACACACACATCACCACCATTATCGCCACCAGGGGGGCGAGGGGGATGTTCACCGAACGGTGCGACCAGAGTCTCCACACTCCATCGCCTGCAGCTAGGGACCTGAGAGCCCTGCTCATCCTCTCACCAGCACTAGCCAGGCGACCCTGGCCACCGTGACCCGCAAGCTTTGTCCTTTGCCTTTGGCGGGATCTCTGGGCCGCAGACTCCTGGCTCGCCAGGACCTGCTCGGGCAGGGAAGTACCTAGAAATTCCACCGCCTTGAGATCCAGGCCTGGGACCGGCAGGGAGACGAATGGGACGTTCGTGCCTTTGTGCCCCCTCCTGGTATCTTATTAACAAAAACCAAAACCCTTAAATTTTTTTTATGAGACCTTCTTCCCGGAGAAGTTATGCAACGGCAGCAAAATCCCAGTGTTGCAGGACCGGGGACTGGGGACAAAAAGGATTCCCCGACGTGTTGGACGTAGCCAAGTCACCCCTGTCTCCAGTTAGTGAAGGGAGAGTGCCAGTATGTACTGCGTGTCCCAGGAGAGGTTCGAGCCTCCTCCTCGGGGGAATCAACGCCCTTCCCCACCGTCCTCCCCTCTAGTCGCCCCCTCCGGCGGACCTCTGCTCCTTTCTCCTGAAAGCCACAGGAGCCCCTGCGTGGCAAAACAGCGACTGGAGCCCGAGCGGAGAGCCGCGCGTCCGCCAGGCGGCGCTGCGGAGCCAGGAGGAGCGGGAAGGAGACGTGGAACCCCCGCCTGCTACTAGGTAGTCATCCCAGGACCCCGCGCTGCCTCCACCTTCGCGTGGCTTTCAGGGTGGTGTCCTATCCCTGTCGCTCCTCGCTCCTTCTTGACTACTGCGAACCATCTGCCCTGTCCCTCTTCACCTCCTCCAGCTCTGCCATTGCTTTCTCTTGCTCTGCCCCTATCCCTAAAGGGTTGGCCCAGGCGAATGGGTTCCTCCTCACCTAGTGGAGCGCCCACCACCACCCTCAAGGCTCCCACAGGTTACATTGTCTGCCATACTGAAAAGGTCTCCACACACCTGTGCATCTATTCGGTCCTTCATTCACGGATTATTTCATAGCAGATGGCACATTCCTTTACTGGCACTCCACACTGACAGAGAAACTGAGGCTAAGTCCTGGAAGCCAATGTCAAGCTCAGGCCTTTTTCTCCATTCAGCCCTATCCCTGCTTGTCTCTCTGGTGGTGACACCAAGTGACCAGGGTGTTCTGGTGCTGGATGACTCAGAATAAATATGGATGAGGAAAGTGTGCCTCAAAGATAGGGAAAGATCAGCTGCTGAAATCTGTCCCAAGGCTGGGCCCCCCACCCCCAGGTAAGCACTACCAACACAAATAGAGATGCCTTTAACACACTGTTCACTCCTGGCTGCCAGTGTGTTACGAATTCACCCACATTCACAGCAGTGGTCTACCTGCTCAGACAGAGGCACACCTGGGTCTGTGTGGCATACACTTAGGGTCTCAAGCAAATGGGAGGGGAAAGGAAGCAGGCATTGTGTTTGATCTGTGAGGAAAGGCAAATGAAATGCCCTTTCTAGGTGATGAACCTGTGCTTTGGAAAACTCATAAAAGTCACCCAGGAGGTGGACCTGTCCCCTGCTAGGCTCTGCACTGGCCTCTGCTACACACATTGGCTTAGGGTTGCTCACCCCTGAGGCTAGCAGTCTCATGATGCTTGGAATGACTGCCAAGCCCTGATGGCCTGCTCACCCCTGTTATGGACTACTTCCAGCCCGTATTATCCTGTGTTACCCCATTTAAACTTCACTACTGCACAAAAGTAGACACATCAATAAATAAAATAACAAACTTCACAATAATTCCATAAAGTCATTTGCCTTCATCCCATTTTTCAGAAGAGGAAACTGAGACTTGACAGGGGAAACACACCAGTGTAAGATCCCATAGCTAGTGTGGTAGAGTATAGAAGCTGGATTCTCACCTAGACTGTGGACCTGAGGAGATGTGAAAGTAGAACATTGCCTGGGAATCAGAGATCTGGTTCCACTAGGGAAGCGAGTGGTGGACATAGTTGGTGGTGGTTGTTGTTTTTCTTAAGTATTCTGTTATTATTTTTTGTTATGAAGATTTTCAAACACACAGAGGTAGAAGGAATAGTGTAATGGACCCCCATTAAGTCCATCACCCAACCTCAACCATTATCAACTCATGGGTAATCTTATTTCCTCTCTACCCCTCCAATTTGCCACCATTCCCATTATTTTGAAATGAAAACAGGCATTTTATCCTTTCACTTCAGGTGTTTGTCACTTCCAGCCTGGTCTGGTTTACCAGCCTAAGGCTTACACCCACTGCCCCACCTAAGTTGAGGCTAGGTGTGGTTGAGGATTTTGATCAAAGTCTCTGGCAAAACTGGAATTGGAGCTCGTTTCTACAGAGACCAAGCACTTACAGCTGTCCAGTGCCAGGGGTGTATAAAAGGCCCAGGGGGACTGAGCCCTCTCTGCCCAGTGTGACACCAGAGTGTGCCCTAGGGGCATCTGCCCTGTGAAAAGATTTCACAGTGCAGTGCCTGGTGGGGACACTCAAACTGCAAGGGACATTCTAAGAGTGAGAACAGCTTAAAAGCATATGAAGCCGCACATTGGTGGTGCACGCCTGTAATCCCAGTGGCTAGGGAGGCTCAGGCAGGAGGATCCTGAGTTCAAAGCCAGCTTCAGAAACTTAGTGAGGCCCTGTCTCTAAGTAAAATATTTAAAAGGGCTGGGAATGTGGCTCAGTGGCTGAGTGCCCCTGAGTTCAATCCTCAGTTTTCTCTTCAATAAAATGGGAAACACTGATACCAACCAACTGGGGTTGTTGTGAGGCTCCAGTGAAATAATAAATTTGAGGCTGGCTGTGTATCTCAGTGGTAGAGCAATTGCCTAGCATCCAGTTGTCCTTGGCACTGAAAATAATAATAATAACAAATTGAAATACACAACCTACTGCCTATCCCATACTATCTTTTCAATATAGGTATTTTCTTTCTTTTCTCCCCAATGTCTCATTTTATTATGAACAACCCCCTTGCTCAAGAATTTTCTGTGACTCCCTGTGGCCCATTAGGGTGCCTGTAATCATGGTTCATCTTCTTATCTGATCCATCTTTGCCTGTTCTACCTTGTGCCTCACCTCACAGTTTAAGCCCTCTGCCAGCCAGCTAGCCCTGCAACCCACCCCTCAACACCCTGCTCAATCATGCCCATCATACACTCCTTCCCTGGAATATAATATCTCTCCTCTCCCTGCACAGCAAAAATCCCTCAATACTCACCTCTTCCAGGAAGCCCACCGGATCTTTCTCCTCCACACACTACTCTTTCCCTCACTTTGCACTCCCTCAGCACTTAAAGCAAAGGCAGAAGTAGAGGTGTAAAGACCACTGGGCCAGGGATAAGGACACTTGGTTTTGAGTGGTGCTTCTTCATAGTTATGTGGCCAGGGACAAGTCACTTATATCTTCTGTTGAGCTTGTCTTCAACCCCAAACTGACACAGGCCTGTGACTACATGGGCAAACCACACATCACCAACACCACTAAAACAGTAAGCAGCATGTGTTGCACACTTACTATTCTGTGCACTCATTTACTCATATCACTATTACTATCCCCATTTCACAAGTGAGGAATTAGAGGGTCACAGAGAAGTAATATGTCAGTATAACACTATGCTGGACCCTGTGCCTGAGATTTTGCCTTTCATTTTCTTTTTCAACTCACAGTTCCTAATTTAGATCTTGGGCCAAGTGTCAGCTCCCTCTGGACGCCCCCCAGGGACTTTTCCTTGGATTTAATGCTCTTCCCTTTGCTCCCATAGTTTC